TAATCACCTCCAAAGGGTTATTTCAGCTCACCCATATATCGCAGGGGCTGTTTAACGCCCAGATACGTTCCAGAGGTCTATGGACAATATTCTAGGTGAACTCAAGATGTTGTGTGTCTTGGTGTACCTTGATGACATTAACATATTTTCACAGATGGTCTCAGAACATCTTGATCATTTGGAGGAGGTATTCCGCTGGCTTTCAGAGGCTATCAATAAAATCAAGCCCCACAAATGCCACTTCTTTAAAGACCAATTAGAAAATCCTGGGTTCACGGTAGACGCTATGAGACTCAGACCACAACCAGCCAAGATAGAAGCCATCCGAAAAATGACCCAACTAGTAACAAGCAGGATATACAAGTGTTTTTAGACATGTTCAAGTTTTACTGATGGTTTATTCCCAACTTTAGCTGCATAGGAGTCCCTCTCTTCAAGCTCTTATCTAAAGACACTGCTTTTGAGTGGACATAACGGCGGCAGGTTGCCTTTGATACTCTCAGGATGGCATTTTTTAATGCCCCAGTGTTGCAATTTTAAACTTTTAGAAGCAGTCTATCGTCTAAACAGGCGCTTCTCTTTCCACTATTGGAGCTGTATTGTCCCAACTGTACGATTGGAGGGTGGAGCACACTGTCACTTACTGCAGTAGGAGTCTGAATTGCCATGAGAAAAATTACACTGTAATGGAGCAGGAGTTCCTAGCTGTAATATACGCATATAAGCAGTTCCAAGTATACCTTCATGGAGTAAAATTAAGGTCATGACTGACCACGCTTCATTGCGTTAGCTACAAAATCTTCAAGAGCCAGATAAACGCCTTGCACGATGGGCTCTTAAGACTTAAGACTACGATTTTTGTACTTCACCATGCTAGCGCTAAGCATCTAACGCCAACTGCATATCTCAGATACCAATGGTCACCATGAAGGAAAATTTGGGCAACTTGATATATTAAAAGATGGTCAGTGGTAATACATTGATGAAACACCTTAAGTTATTTGGGCGCTAGATGGGATGATGGCTGGTATGATCTGTAAAGATGGTGAGTTATACAAGCGGTTGGTGATGATACGCCAAGTTTCCAAAAACCCTCTGCTTGACTGACCATTACTTTGAGCGCACATAAGGAGTAGGTCACATAGGGTTGCAAAAAACGTTAGAGTTCTTGAGACTACACTATTAATAAAAATATGCACTTTGATGTGTTCAAAGTGATTTTTTGTTGCACCCAATGTCAAATCGAGAAGCCCTTCTTCTAGAAACCTCCTATTGGTTATTAAAACCATGCTTCACGTGGAACACAGTGTCCATTGACTTTGTGGTGCCTTAAATAGGAAAAAATTGTCTCAAGTATTTTTGGTAGCAATATACTATTTGACAAGGTGGGTAGAGGCATGTGCAATAAGAGAATTGGGTGCGGTCAGCGTTGCCAAGTTCATGATGGAGTGCATAATTCACCGGCATGACTTCCCAGGGTTCATACTTACTGAAAACAGAACTAACTTCACCTCGCACATTCTCCCGAAGTTGAATGAATTAAAGGCCATCCGCTGGGCTCTAAAAACCACATACCATCCTGAATCTAATGGAAAGGTCGAAAGGGTTAATGGACCACAGGTAAATAGACTCAGGAAGCTAGAGACAGATAGATCATTGGACTGAAGTACCCTCCTCTCCACTGCAGTCTTTGCCTACAACATTAGTCATCACTCTCTGAATGGAAAGAGTCCTTTTCAGCTGCTTTATAGAAGGCACACAACTCTGCCTGCAATACTTTACTCTTGCGTAGAGGAGACCAGCATAATAGGTCTGCAACGTTACATGATGACTTTGACGTCCACACTAATCAAGCTCCAGACTGAAGCATACTCAACTATCCTAGGTAAAGAAACCAAAAATCATGATTCTTATCAGCTAAGGTGTAACGGATTTTCCCAGTTCACAATAAGTGAGTGTTCTCTTTCATGACCAGCATGGTTTTGGATGGCGGAATAAGTTAGCTAGTATATGGATTGGTCCCTTTGAGCTAATAGAATAACTAGTGCATGCCTATACAATCAAGGACCCAGCAAGTGGTCTTTTTATTAAACAAGTACATGCTAACTTCCTTTGGGCATATAATCAATAGGAAAAAAATTGATAATTAAAGATAATGATTGTAATATATATATGAACTGAATCTAAATAATAAACTGATGAATAACCGTTCAGATGAAGATGCGTTTGATAACAAGCTAGCAAGCATCGGCCATTGGTCAGGTGGCCTCAGGATCAACTCGCTGCCTCTGCTTCTTGTGTTGGGACTTTTGATTTGATTGGTGGGAGGCACGTTTCTTTTTCTTATGAAGATTTCTAGGTGGCTTGGCTTCTTTAGGTCTTTTGGGGATTGGAGGTGGATGCGGACGTTGCACTATTGAAGATGAAGGAGTTGGTATCAGCATGGGTGAGGATGCGCCAGTGTAACGAGGAGAGGTCATGGCGGATGAACTTTGAGAGGGTGTGAACTATTTGGCTAAGGTAAGAGTTGGGGAGGCGACAACTTGACCAGGCAATTGAAGCAAACGCGCTTCTGTCCCACCAAGAACAAGTCCCACAACCACATCTGCTGGCGGTTGCAGTATAACAAGGAGTACGTGATGAGGGGGAAAAAGTTTGAGCGGACTGCAAATGAGGAGATGGGTGCCATAGGGGAAAAGGATGCGCCAAGCGCCAGACAACCCATGAGGAAGTCATCCATGCTGGGATAGGCATGTAGTAAGGGAGTAGACGCCGAATATGCTTCTTGACAGGCCCACTCCAGTGCCACCCAATGGTAAACCATCACTGAACCAAACTCTCCCATGGGGAGAATGAAACCATGTTCCCAAGGAGCGCCATTATGGGGAGGTACCAGACTGGGTCATTGGCGTCCAGAGCTGCAAACATGAAGTACACACCAGAATGCATGTGATTCAACCAGTTGTTCTGGAAGTTTACTCCTAGCGAGCAAAAGTGGGGTGGAGCACGGGGAAAGAACCCTGACCAGCTGGGTAACACCCATTACACAAAGCATACATCTGGCGTACTGCTAGTATGCTGGATGTGCTTTGAGATAAATGAAAGCACTAAACGGCTTAAGCCAATTACAAAGAGCTGTGAAGCTTCATTAAATAAATGGCAGCTGCTCCGCTCTCACCCAAGCGCAACTGCTCCACAAGATTGCCAAAGGGCACATGAAAGGATGTCAAATAGCCAACGAATTCAGTAAGGAGATCATCCAGGGCCAAGAGAGTCATGCATCACCTATGGCAACTGCTCATACCTCAGAGTAAGAGGGAATCAGGGTTGTGAAATTCTGCCTGGGTTGCCCACATTTTCAGCATACCATATTTGAAGAAAATATTCTGGGCTCAGGGCTTTAGTGCTGTTGTGATTCAGAAAACATTGTAAGAACATTTGAAGAAGCGGTACTGAAGACTTATCATCCATTCAAGGAGGGGCTAATGTAAGGAAATTTATGACTGTTTTATAATCTTAAATTATTAATGAAAGATCATTAATTATCCAAAGAGATTGAGTTTAGAGAATTTTATAACTATCACGATATAATATGGGTTGATGCTAAGCAATTTGACCTCAGCCAAAATATGGGGATTCTGCTGAAACTCCTAATGATGAGACGAGCACAATGGAAAGGGGAGAAGCAGAGTAGCTGTGTATATGGGAAAAATAGTGGCTGGAGAGATTAGTGAGAAGAGGGAAAATGAAGAATAGAAGAGAGGTCTTTTAGTTGATAAGACGTAGTGAGTTCTATAGTGTAAGATTGAAGGGACAATGGTATTGACTATGCTGTTCTAAATATAGTAATTGCTGAAGCCTTTGGCTTCATTTTATATTTTTTAGCCTTGTTTGAGTAATTATGATCCCCAACCTTCTTTCAGTTGCATCAGTGGTAAACTTTCTGTTCAACCCTTTGGCAGATTACAACCTATTCTGTCAGATTTTACAAAATTAGTCTTATTACTAGTTATTTAATCTGGCTTTTAGTTTGTTCATCTTTGAGTAAACATATCCGTTTTTTCAGTTTTCTCTCTCCCACTTCTAAGTATTAAAAATATAATGGGGACTTTAACAATAAAGAGATGAATTTTCTGTGCCATAACTAATGAATCTAGAACTTTCTTGGGAATTTGAGTATTCCATTAAAATTCTATTCAGTAATCTATTACTACTGTTGGTGAAGTTAGAGTTACCTGACCAAAATAGATTAGTTTAGCCAATTATACCAAAAGATATCTAGTGGAGTGGGGACTAGTAGTACCATACTTAACTACATGGTGTAAATTAGGAGCGACCTTAATTATATTCATAAAGTTTGGAGATTTTAAACTCTAACGTGGACACAGTATTTTCTTAAGTATAAAATTTACTCTTATGTACTTGTAAATCTACTAAATAACAATACTTTTATATTGATAAGATAGAGTTAGTAATGACGGTCTTGCCAAGTAATACTAACAATAGGAAAAATCTAGAATAGTTAAATCATAAGTTTTATATCAATATTAAACTAGAGGTCAGCATTTCCCCCTAATTAAAGACTGGTTGACCATTGAGCTTTCTTTATGTGGAAGTGGTCAGATAAATGCTTGGTAGGCCAGTCAACATAAAGAACTTCTTATTTATATCATGATCCTTTTTCTGCATCTCCAGCTTTATTCTATAATTGTCTATGGCTATGTGGCTTCACCACGATATAAATAATAGCATAAGATTTTTGTATTCACGCCCTTTGTGGACACCTCATTAATGTGAGGTCTCATAGAAGCGGTGGAAATGGGGCAGCTGCTTTTAAAATAACTGAAGGAATTATAATCAGAGCTTTTTGTGTTCAAAATGATGGTATAAGTTTGAAACAATCTTTTGAGTAACTGTAGTTTTGTCTGGAAAATGAAACAAAAACTATTTAATTGATGGCGTTATATAGAATGATACAATTAAAATTATTCAAGGAGGGGGTGAGGTGAGTTGATAGGGCATATGGCTACCAACCTAAAGGTTGCAGGTTCGATTCCCGCCCTCTACACATCAATCAGGGTGCCAGCCAAAGGAAGCTATTGGCGGTTAGTAGGTCTAATAACATGAAAACTTTATCCATGATGTAACTAGAAATATTTGAGTCCCAATCTGGAGGTGGAAAAACTTTCTTTGATGGAGTTGACCCTGTTCAGCTTATATGTCATTTCTTTCTTTCTTTCTTTCTTTCATTTCTTTCTTTCAGTAATGCCTGTCCCCTGGTCAGCTTGCCTCAGTTAAATAAAATTATTTGAGGTGGGTTGACCTTGGGACAAATATACCACACCAAGAATGTTTTCTAACCAGTACAGGTTTTGAACTCAAAGCCTGCACTAGGGGTGGAAGCAGTTTTACCCGCTCGGCTAACCACCCTAGAATGATACAATTATTAGTGACTGAAGTTTGAGCTTCATATAAAGATGACTTTTAATTACAGTAGACATTTCTTTTTGGGTTAAGATATAAACACTTGCTTTCAATTTGTAAACTTTTGATCACTCCTAAAGCTTTTTCTCATAGCAAATTTTCTTACTACCATGTATTATTGACCATAGGATGAGCGTCCCTTATTTCCTGTGATATATGGTTAAGACAGATAGTGAGGTGATTCACTCCTTGCCTATCAATGGCCACTTCCATTGCACTTTTGCGCACATTTAACAAAAAAATTTCTTCAGGAACCTACATTTTTTTGTAACTGAGTTTAAACACAATTGAGGAACTGGAGCTGATAGTAAATTACCCTTGAGTTTTTAGAAATATTGGGCTCAGAGGATTCATTCTCATTTATCCCCTGGATTTGGCTTAATAAAAATAACAAGATGCTAATATCATGAGTTCTTTCCAATACTAAGCCACCACCGCAACAGAGTATTTTTAAGAAATTTGTTCATTTAACAATCTTAACTCAACTTGTTGCTCAAAAACTCATTACTCATAATGAGTTCATTATTTTCTATACTTTCAACAGTTATTACCTGAGCGGATAAAACTTCTTCCACCCCTAGTGCAGGTTTTGAGTTCGAAACCTGTACTGGCTAGAAAACATTCTTGGTGTGGTATATTTGTCCCAAGGTCGATCCACCTCAAATATTTTTTTATTTTCTACACTCCCAACATGTTATTTGACAGAGGCCATCTGTTCCACACATACAGTATAAATCTGGTAAACATTGTGAAGCTCTTTGTTATTATCAAGCTCTTTGGCCACAAGTTCAAGCAGTAATTTAGTAACAAGATGATTTCTTTTGTGTTTAGATATATATCTGCAGGCCATTTCTCTATGCCAGTATTTTGTATATTTAAAAATCCTTGAAAGGTTATGTATCATTTATGATAAAGTTCTCTGGTAGCACTTGAGCTAAAGGTCCACAAGGGCCAGGAGGACCTGCAGGTCCTTGTTAGTCAGTTAGTCACATGGGGCTTTAAAGGCTGGGAGGCACTGGGGGTCCAGAAAAATCTATAGATTTATTTTTTATGGCTCAAAGAGGCCTTGAGTTCAGGAGGGCCCTGGATATTTCCTTTTCCTGCAGGTATAGATCTAGTGACCCATATATTCTGAGTGACCCTGTTGGCCCAAAGGGGCCCTAAGACCTGGAATGGCCATCAATCCTAGATGAGACTCGTGAATGTTAGACGAATTAACCAATATTAGAGTTTTTGCAGAGACTTGTCAAGTTGCATTTTGCCGTTGGTTCAAGGTAGACTCAAGATATTTGAGATTAGTGGTCATAGTGGACATGGAGTTTTATGGCTGAACTTTATGCTCAGATACTTGTTTAATTTAGAAGCCAATTGGGTATCTACAGAAGTATAATATCCTGGTGTCCAAGGGCCACATGTTGGCAAGCCTAGTTTATAGTATGTGGTATACTACAATAACATCTCCTTTCTCCTGCACAAATAAAGAGGATTAGTTATAAAATCCAACACTTTTGATTGCAGATTTTGCAAGAATATGAACTGGCACAGCATTTCTTGGTGTTACAGTTTTGTAATATGCAAGAGATGGTATAGCGTGGGATGTACAAAATAGCGTAGTCATTGATTGGTTCCAGTACCAAACTCAGCAGTGGATAAATTTAGAGAAAGGTTTAAGACTATCATTGTTGAGGGAGCAGAGGCACCTTATGTTAATATGGATTGGTCATACATAATAAATCTCTATTACTATTTTTTAAAGTTTTAAGTTTGCTATAACAATTGACATGGTTTCAACTAAAACTGGTAGCAATCTATTTGGTTTTTATTCGTCACTTTGGAAGAAGAGGCATCAAGGCTGTGAAATTTGTTCTTTGGTAATCACCGTTTTAAAATATCATCTTAAAGAACCTGTCAGTGTGGACCAAATTTATCAGGCATCAAGGATTGTATGCTATAAGTTAGATTCAAGCCTTCAAAGCTCCAGAAACTAGGAACAGTCAGTTTTTGATAGATCTTTGTCCAGGGAATGGTCATAGCTAGGGATGTTATTTAGAGTATATTCTCCATAGTAATATTAAAACAAAAGCATGATAAGAGAATTTTGTTTTTTTATATAGATAACCATAAAAGAGTATACCTTTTTTTAAATCTTTAGACAATTAAAAGGCTTGTAGGGAAAGGGTGGCTAACCTATCAGATAAAACTGCTTACACCCTAATGCAGGTTTTAAGTTTGAAACCTGTACTAACTAGAAAAATTCTCAGTGTGGTATATTTTTCCCACTGTCGACCCACCTCAAATACAAAAAGGCTTGTAGGGAAACTGTTCTTCATAGGAGAATTCTTTGACCATGAGACAGTATATTATTGTTATCTGGTTTACTATAAATGATACCTTGTTCAAAGCATTCTTTAAAAATTTGATTAGATCATTATTATAATCCAGAGGTTTACGCTTTGGTTAAGATGAAGTAAGATGTACTACTTATGGGAGAATCTTCATAATCTCATGTCCTTATTGACATAAATACTTATATATAGTGTAATCAAAGTACTTTAAATTTTAACAAGGTCAACAGCCAAAGACCAAGCAAGATCTTTTATTTGTGACAATTTGAACCTTTTTTAGTCTTTATGTAAGCCATATTGCTTAGTCTCTATTCAGACCAGAAGAATTTACTTTCTGATGCAAGGTAGGACCAAAGGCCTTCATTAGCTCCTTTAGTTTATCTTTATGATCTAGCATGTGTGATAAATGAGAGGTAGGTTCTGCTTTGCCTCCTAAAGACACAACATCCCTCCCTGCCTCTCTTTTCCTCTTCTACCCTTTTAAAAAATTAATGGAGTTTTTAGGGAGGTGATTCAGGTCAAGGGTCTCCAGCAGGACCCTAAGGTTCATCCAACTACTAGCTAGGAAACCTCATGTTAAAAGAAAATTTGTCAGATTCCTTCAACATTCTAACTAGTATCAAGTAAGTCATACTTGTCAGTTTAAGTATACAGATTGGAGATCAATTTCCTTGCTCATTCCATTCTAAAATGAATTTAACTAACCATCAAATAATAATGGATAATTGTAAGTTGAGCTATGTTGATTTAACTATCTGGTAAAATCATGCAGAATTAGATCAATAAATCAAAAGCAACTACAAAAACGCTACTAGATTTTACAAACTAATGCAAAACTAAACCCTCCATTATAGCACCTTTCAATCCACCCAAAAAACTTTAAGGGTCGTCACAGCTGCCATTAAATTGGACAGGGAGATAGATCCCTTTTGATCAATGAAGGAGCGTGCCCCCAAGCACTATCACCAGAGAAAGTAGTGGAGTTGGTCATACCCCAGACAAATGATGGGTTGCCGCCACCCCTCAAACTGAAAATTAATATGACTCCCCCATTATTGTCTATTCTTCCAAGGCCTATGTTTCCAAAATCAAGAGTATAAGTCAGGAATACAGTGAGAAGATCAGCGGATTAAAATTGAAGCCACAAAAAGTGACAAAACCATTTCATTTAACCTAGGAATAATTTTTCCAAGCGTCCAAACTAATATTTCAAAGATATTACAATCAAAAAATCCTCATAAACAGAACAATTTTTTAATTAAAGCAAAAATGTTGGTGCTCATGAAATTGGCAAAGATTTCGAGATAAACCACTGAAAAAGCCATCTGCCAGTTCCAAAATTTCTATAGATTAGATTACTGAGCAATGACCTTGCACAAAGTTCTTAGCATACTTAAAAACATTTATTCATCCCGTTTCATTGAAGTTCTTAAGCCACCCCTCATCATTCACATACAAATATTAAAAACTCAGCACTCTACTTATGATATAGTGCTGGGTTATTTTTATAAAAATCTAATAAAGAAACACTTTCCACTTTAGAAAAAATTAAATAAATAATATATAAAAAGATTCTGTCCTCTTCAAAGAAACTACTGAATCCTATGGAGGGTTTTTGCTCATTGATCCCTGTAATGGCAGTGGCCGTTTCCCTGGTTTTCTCAATTTAATCCCTCGCCAAAGATAATAGAAGAAACCACCCCAGAAAGTTGTCGCAACAACCATTTTCCCAGATGTATTTGCATACATATTCTAGCCCCTGAATTGAACATTAAACCATATAATTTATTTTACTGTAACCAAGAAAAACTAAAAAAAGTTCTTTGGCATATTAAAATTTGGAAGAAACTAATGAAGGTGGATTCAATACATAGCAGCTTCTCCCCATTATCAGAAGAAAGTCCAGGAAAACCCCAATTTTGATCACAAATTCTACCTCAGAAGGTCTAAAAGCTGCCCCATTAAACCCAACCAGCCTCCCCTCAGTTCAAGAGCTGTGGTCAAGATTACTACCCATTCTCAGTTTATTAATTATAATGGGACTGATGTTTATAGATCAGTATTTCACTCACCTGTCCCCACGCGGATATTTACAAATAATCATAACAAATATGCCATTAAGAGTATAGATTCTATCATAAATAATGATGTACCCCATAGGAAGCCTATTTTTTCCTCGGCACTTTTAATTTCTGCAATATTACCCAGCCACTCAATACTGTGAGTATGGTAATGGCTT